CCCACCCAAGGACCAGGATCATCTGGGAAGCAACTGAGGCATTTCCTAGAGACCCTCAGGCAGCCTACCTTTCACAGAGAAGAGTTGGCCCTGAGAAGCTACACGTCGGGAGGAGCGTCAAGATGAAGTATGAGATGTCAAAGCCAGCATATGCTTCCTCACAACTCCCTGGTGCTTTTTGTGCATTCCATATGGAAGCCTATCATGTTGTGTCAGACCACAGCTGCGAGTAAAATGAAGCCTTTGAGAGGACAAGCGTTGAGGCCAAATGGCGCTGCATCCGCAGCTTCCAGCACAGGGCTCAGCCTATCATGGGTTGCTGGAGAGGAGCCTATGACATCTGCCAGACCCCTTTGTGAGTAAAGCTGATCCAGAACTTCAGCCACAGACTGGACTGGACTTGGTCAGGAAAGTGGCCTCAATTATGGCCTGGCTTGAGAGCTATGCTCAGAGGAAAGGGGGTGGGGGTGGGCTGGTGGCCTGAACCAATCAACCTCCCCTCCTGGGATGACCCAGCTGTGCGGAAGTTTTCATCCTTATGAAACCTGCAATGCTCCTAGGGTCCAGTGGGATGGAGATGTGGAAGAGAGAAAATTCTAGGATGACGCCCCACTTTTAAGCCTGTTCAGCTGATAACCTGATGCTGGCAGCAGCCAGGGTGAAAAATGGAGGGGAGGGAGTTGGTGGGGAATGAGAACGAGGCTACTGCCAGACGGGGAGACCGCCGTGCTGGTGGAACACCCCCCCCCCCTCCGCCCAGGCAGGGGCAGTTGAGACATGAGGTGGAGTCTCGGGGGCCCAAGAGCCACCCAGAGGCCTGAGTGCTGGACCCCGGAGAAAGGGTCCAGGAGCAGCCTCGTGCCTTATGGCCAACAGGATGACCTCTGCCAAGCACAGGACCCTGCCCCCAGGGGATGAATACATAAATATTTTTTAAATGATTCACATTTCACTTGATTGTTCTTTGAGAATGAAGTTTTATGTTCAAAATTTTTAAAACCCTCACCAGTGTGGCTCAGTTGGTTGGGCATCCAAAAGGTCACCAGTTCGATTCCAGTCAGGGCACAGGCCTGGGTTGAAGGTTCAGTCCCCGGATGGGGCGCCTGTGAGAGGCAACCAATCAATGTTTCTGTCCCTCTCTTTCTCCCTCCCTTCCCCTCTCTCTATAAACAAACAAATGAAAACTTCTAGAACCTGTTGTAACTTTACAGCAGCACAAGATGTTGGAGGATGTAAAGCTCATTTCACATACTGTTTTCTCCCTTTATTCACATTGTTCATTGCAATGGAATTTCTTTATGTGCATGAAATAGAAATTGGTACAACAAAGTACAAATAATTTCAACAAATGTCAACTTCAAAATCAGCATGAAATACTCTTAGCAAATATAATCACTGCTTAGGTATTTCCCTTTCTAAGCAGATTATTAAAAACCTGCTTTTCTCTCTATGAATAATTTCACCACACTTATAAAACACTTCCTAAATCAATATTGACACACCATTTTTATCTTAATTTTTTTCTAACAGATGCTGAACTATCTCCCTATAAGTATGGGGCTCAGTGCAGGCCTCTGACAACAGGCCTTTTCAGTCTTGGGACAGGAGTGTCTTTAGTCTGGAGGGTAACCCACCTTGAGCAAGAGTCTCCTTGGGCATTAGCTTCCTCCTAATTAATCCTAATTAGGATTAGATTGGCAGGAGTTCTCAAACTAGACCATTGTTACCAATAACGAAGGCTCATCTAGCACTTGCATGTGCACGGTACTATTCTGTAAGCATTACTGCAATTCCCATTTTACAAATGGAGAAAGGAGGGCATGGCAGGCTAAGGGACTCACCCATGTGCATGTGCTGCTTCCCCAACGTCTAAGGTGAGAATCAGGCCTGGGTGGGGCCCCAGAACCCACACTAATAACAAGCTCCAGCAGGGACTTGGTCCAGGTGGTTTTTATTTTATTTATTTCTTTAATCTCCACCGAAATGTTTATTGATTTTTGAGAGCAAGGAAGGGGGAGAGAAACATCAATGTGAGAGCTAAACATCAATAGGTTGCCTCCCATAAGCTCCCTGACCAGGGATTGAACCCAGAACATTTTGGTCCACAGGATAATGCTCCAACTGAGCCACCAGGCCGGGCTCTGGGTGGTTTTTAGACCCCATGTGGAGACACTGCTCCTGGCATCAGATCTGCTTTGGTTCTGAGAGCAGGGAGGGGAACAAACAGAAAAATCCAGAGTCCCAACCATGGCAGATCTCAGGAGCAAGTTTGGTGCCTCCCTCTCACAGCCAAGTCAGGGAAGCGGGTAGGCTGGGGCTTGAAAACAGCTAGCTAGGGCTGCGGAGCCCAGAAACTTTTGTCTCTTCCTGCATCAGATTGCCACCTGCTGGCTATAGGTGGCCTTGCAGGCCAGGTAGGACGTGTCACTCAATTTCCCTTGGCCAAATGTTAAGGGACTACAAGGTAACATGGTTTGGGGATTCAGCAGAGACCTCACGGTGTGAGAAAGACAAGCAACAATATTTGTTTAGCACTATGGGAAAGAAAAAGTAAGTGGGGATGAGAGGGGTCAATGGGGAAAAGCAAGCTTGAGACGCAGGCAGGGCCAGGCTGGTGGGCCTCATTCGTTTGGATTGTGCGCTGAGGGTAGTGGGAGATCCAGCAATGAGGCAGATTTGTTTTAGTTAGATCACCCTGGCCTCTGTCAGGGGGATGGAATGGGATAGTTTGAGAGGTGGCAGAGTCCATTTGAAAACCATTCAGGACCAGCGAGGAGCACAGCTGCTGGCCTAGGTTAAGGGGTGGCCACATGGACGGAGCAAAGTGGTCAATGAGAAATGTTTAGAAAGTAGGGTTGGTTAGGCGCGATGAAACCAAAGCCCAAAGAATAACAGCAGGAAATCATAGTGGCCCCATTTCATTCCTTTCTTCTTTGAACAAAGTGTAACACCTACAACGGGGCAGGAACTAATTTACCTGCTGGGAGCACAGTGGTGGAAGCAAGGCAAGAAAAAGCCCCGTTTTTCATGGAGGCTACATTCTAATGGGGAAGAGAGGGATAGCAATCACATACACAAGAAAAACATCAGAGGGGGATAAATAAAAGGCCCACGCCATGTGACTCTCAAAGACCTGAATGGTAAGGAGCCTGCCATGTAAAGATGACAGGGAAAAGCATTCTAGACCAAAGGAACAAATGCAAAGGCACTTAAAGTGGAGCATGTCCAAGGTCACAGGCAGCCAGTGTGGTGGTGAAGGACGAGAGTGGGAGAAGAGAAGGCAGGGGAGTCAGGGGCCAGATGATGAAGGCCTTTATGAGGCAGCGCAAAGAACTGTGAGTAAAGGGAAGCCACCAAATATTTTAGACAGGAAAGTGGCAGACTCAGAGTTTGTTGGAAGATCTCTTAGGCTGCTCTGTAGAGTGGATTGTAGGGGACAAGAGAGGAAGCGGGAAGACTTGAGGAAGCGGAGATGTGGACGAGGAGAGACGACCGCAGCAGCGTGAGGGTGGGGCATATTTTGGAGTTAGAGGCAACAGGATTTGCTAATGGATTGGATGTGGGGGCAAAAAAATAGTAGAACCAAGGATGACTCCCCCAAACCACCACAAGGATGACAGCCGCTGCAGGGAAACTAGACAGGAGGAGAAAGGTCCTAAGGAAACTTCTTCCCCAATGATGCCCCGTCCCAAACCGCAAAGGCCTAGCCTTAAAGCTCAGCCCCACTGGAGGGAGCGGCACGCAAACTAATCACTCTGGGGCTCAGCTTCCTTAACTGAGACTGGGCCCAGCCTGCCCAGTGCGCCGGCAGCCCAGTCTGGCTTCTGACCGCACTTAGCCAGTTTTCTCCCATCTTGAGGAGACAAGTTTCCAGGCAGCCGCAGCCTCAACCCCAGCTGGAAGAACACCTTAGGTCACTTTTAAGTCCAATTCTAAATGAAATCCCCAGAATTAGCCCCATCATTCCCCAAGCCCTGGATCTAGGATCATCCCAGCAAGAGAGAAATGATCACTCTCAGTCCACTTGAATCCAAGGAGAATGTGGGAATGGGCAGCTTTATCCTGGCAGAACAAACACCAGAGACCAAGGGCTATGGGCACCACATCATTTTATTTCTTTGGTTTTCCAACTTCATTCTTGAACAATGAAAATTCAGTCTCTCACCTGCCTGGCCACTGTGTGGTCCCTCACTGAAGATGGGGCACAGGCTCTGAGGAGAGACCCAGCAGAAAAACAGGTGTCCCCAAGAGCAAGGCAGACTGGCAGAGGCCTGCAGATGGGCGGAGCACCGGTGAGCTGAGACTCGAGAGCCCCTCCCCCTTAACCCCACTCCACGTAGACAGCAAGGAACAGGCCAGCCCTGGGCAATCCGGCTCAGGGCCTTCCCTTGGGGGTGCTTGGTTCTTCCTGTATGCCCTGCTTCTGCTCATGCTGAGCCTGACTCTCTTTCCTTTGGAGGTGCCAACCAGAAGCCGCTGACCCACTCCACATTTGATTTCTAATGCCCCTTAGGGAAATACATTTGAGTAAGGAGAGTGCCAAACCCCAAAAGGAACTGAAGATATATATTCTGCCCAATGGGACAGATGGCCATGCTATAATACTCCTTTTGTCCCCAGGAAAAACTGAAAGCAGCTTTAGCTAACCCACCCCCCTCCAAACCCCCACACAACAAACATAGCTTCCAATACCAGCAAGTGGGCCCAGCCAACCCACTTAAATCAAAACAAAAAACTAATGCCAAAACATAATAAAAATAAGAAGGGCAAACAACTTGAGACCATCTCTGGCCCTGTGACTCTCTGCAGCAGAAGAGAGGGCTGGTTTCTGGCTCGCTCTGCCCCAGAGCCAAGAAACAACACAAATCTGCCTTTGGATGCAGGGTGGACACTGTGCGAACCGGAGCAAAGGGCATCCTGGCCAAGCCAGGGGGCAACTCAGGTCCCTGACACTCTCCGAACTGGTCCCCCTTCCTCCCAGGCCCCTCTGCACCTCCTTGTCAGCCATCAATCAGGGTAAGGCCATCGTACAGGGCCCGCTTCCACATGTAGTAGGTAGAGCGGGCAGTTAAGGGGAAGAGGGCACTGAACTCCTTGTAGGAGGGAAAGCTCTTGGACTGGAAGCACTTCTGCAAAAACAGCTTGGCCTGAGCCTTGAACTTTGTGGAGGCGAGCATGTCCATCATCAGCACCTGGCTGTCCCTACTGCCCGCCACCCCCACCCCTGCCACCGCCGCCGGGGGGCTCGCCCAGGATCCACTGTGGGGCCTTTGCTGGGCCGTGGCCCCCTCTTGCAGAATCTTCTCTCTGGAAGGTCCCCCTTGGGCCTTCTCTGGATCCTTTCCTGGAGAAGCCGCCACCTTCGGGGGCCCCGCAGCTGGGGCCACGGCAGCTATCACGTTCCTGCCAGCTTCTTTCTCTCGCCTCTCCTCTGCCTCCTGTACCCCACCATTGCCCAAGGTAGGGGTCTGCATCTGGAGTTTGGACAGGCTTCTAGGCCAACCCCGGGCGAGACTCTTCCAGACCCAAAAGGTGGAGGGAGACAGGCTGGGGTAGCGGAGGCGAAAACGACAAAAGGGGAGGTGCCCACTGAGCACCTGCTTGCGGGCAGCCCTGCGCAGTCGCCTCTGCCAACGGGACAGGGGCATCCTCGGGGGCAGGAACTCCCGGGGGGCGGGTGGTCCCCGATCTGTTGCTTTCCCCGCCCCCTCTCCCACCTCACCCTTCTCAGGGAGCAGGGCCTCTTCCCCAACAGATGCAGGCTGGGGAGCCTGGGCTGTGGAGAGGGCCGGGGCTGGCTTGAAGCTGGGGTTCCTCCGAAGGGCCTTCCGGCGCCAGTTGTAATAGGTGGACCGGGAGATGCTGGGGAACCTGCGTTTGAAGCAGCGATAGGGCACCAGTGTGTTCAGGGAGATGCAGTGCTCCAGGTACAACTTGGCCCGCTGCATGAGGACCACTGCAGGGCTGGCCTCAGCCAGCATGGAGCACCCCAGCCCTTTGGCAACCTGCTCCTCTGGCAGCTTCTCCAGGTCCTCCAGTCCCTCTTTGGGGGCCAGGGACTGGCAGGCGCCAGTGCCCAGCAGCTCGTTCTTCCAGGCATAATAAGTGGAACGGGAGATCTCGGGGAACCTCTGGAGAAACTGCTGCAGCGACATGATGCCCCCGCAGCGGACGCTCTCCTGCAGGACGTGCTTGGCCGAGTAGAGGGTGGCCACCTTCTGCTGGTGCTCCTGGGTCTGCCGCCGCCAGCGGTAGAAGGTGCTCTTGGTGACGCTGTAGTGTTCACAGAGGTGGGAGTAGCTGAGGCCACGTTCCTGGCTAAGCAGCTCCAGAGTCTTGGCCGGTGGCGGCAGAGGAGCTGGGGCCTGAGGAGCCGGGGCCAGGCTGGTCGCATCTTCAGCCTCCACCTCCTCCAGTCCCACCACAGGGGCAAAGTACTGGTGGCGGAAGAGATGGCTGGTGAGGGGCTGGCCTGCCCACATGATGTGCAGTGTGGCTGGCATGTGGTCACAGCGGCGGGGCCGGATGATGCGGTTGAAGTAGGGCCGGATCTTGAGGTTGCGCATGGGGTAGATGGAATAGATGTTGCGCTGAAGGATGGAGGCGAGGGCGTACAAGTGCCACACGTTGGAGAAGCTGCTAGGGAAGCAGGTGGCCTTGACGTCCGCATCGAAGATGGCCTCCAGCGTGGCAGACGGCAGGCTGGTCATCTCAGGGGACTCCTCCGAGCAGAGGGAGTAGCGCACGGCCTGCAGCATCACCTTGGAGTCGATCATGCCCTGCAGGTAGTAGTGCCTATGCAGCAGCATCTCCACCACAGTGCGGGCCCGCAGCTCCAGGCTGAGGCCTGCGTCCCCCCACAGTAGCATGCTGGCCGCCTCGAACAGCAGGCTGCCCTCGCCCTTGCACACCAGCGGCAGCATGTTCCGGGGAGCATCCTCTGGATACAGGCTCAGAGCCACCGAGTCCACCTCCAGCACCTGGCGGCTGGGGCCTTTCTCCCGGCAGGTGGGGAGAGTGAAGGAGGACAGGACCTGCTTGGCTTCCAGAGCAGCACCGACGAGGCCCTCCAGGCCCTCGGACTCCACCGCCTCCTGCAGTTCCTGGAGCACCTGCTGTATCAGCTGCTCCCGAGATGTCATCCTGCCAGGGCAAAGGGTAGAGGGCAGAGGTCAGGACAAGGTGCCCAGACGACACCTGGCAATGGTGCCCTCCCCACCCCTGCACCTTCTCCCTCGAGATGATGTCCACCACTCCCACTTCTTCATTGCAAATGATGGCTAAGTTCCTCCAGGGGGTCACTGAGTCCCTCAGCAGGACTTAGAGCTTGGTCTCTCCTTGGCTCTGACATTAACTTAAGCAAGTCGCTTAACCTCTCTAGGCTTCTGGTTCCTTCTCTGTGAAAAAGGGGACAATAAAAAAAGTATCTACCTTATAGGGTTGTTGTAGGTATACAGGAAACAGTGAAAGAAAAAGATGGAGACACATAGACATACACACACACACTTACATATCCATCCTTAGAACAGTGCCTAGCACACAGTGAAGTACTAGAGAAGTATTAGATATTATATATTAGAGTATTATCTAGTGCCATACATATTAGACAGTACAGCTGTAAAAGCTGTATCCCTGTGCCTGGTAAAGACAAAAGTGGACTGTCTTTCCCTCTTACAGTGATTCTCAAAGTACAGTCCAAGCACTCCTGGGGTTCCCGGGACTTTTTCAAGGGTCTGCAAGTTAAGCTATTTTCATAATAATGTGAAAATATACTAAGAATACACTGAAGATATTTGCCTTTTCCATTCTATATACACTTGAGAAAAACTGTGGCACCTTAGCATGAATCAGATCGTACTGGGAGTCATTATGTTCTTTACCACCGTGCAGTTGCAGTTAAGAACAAACAAAAAGCTACTGTAGTTTCACTCAACGTCCTTGATGAAGCAGAAAAGGTTTTTCTTAAATTACAACCCTTAAAAATACGACTGCTCAACACCGGGAGTGAACTTCCTGCTGCGCACCACAGCATGATGCAGGCCTCACGTTGACGACTGTCTGGGTTGTACCAGGGACTAGCCGCTTTTTATCATGGAACAACCACCATTTTGCTTCAAAGGAGGATTGAGAGATGTCAGTCATTTAGACTTGAGTATATTTAGTAAACATTTTCTCAAAAGTGAATAAGGCGAGCCTGTCACTTCAAGAAAAATTGCCATTGGCTGCCAGTGAAACATTGAGCTTTCACTTGAAAATTAGAATTTTGGAAAACCTGTATCCACTACAGTGAACTTGACAGCTTCCCAATACCTGGAGGCTTTTCAGAAGGAATCAGTGGTGACACTGTAAATGTAACTTTTTATACTATATAATGGAATTGTCAGCATTTGAGGCTCTGTATCACTCAACGAATTACATTTCCCCAATAACCAATGAGTGATGTTACAAAGTCATGCCTTTTGATTGGTAAAAGATCCAATCAAAGTATAAAAGAAAGCAATAGACTTTAATATAGTAGGGTACAAAAGGTTCATGGATATTGTTTCAGATTCTACATTATAACTAAGCTTTGAGAAACTACTTGTTGAGTTTTGGTATAGTTATCAAAGACTATCCAATGAAAAAGCTATCAAGATACCCTTCCTCTTCTCATCTATATAGCTGGATGAAATGACATTTCTTCATATACTTCTACCAGAACAATATATCACAACAGATCAAACAGAGACACAGATAGGAGAATGTACTCATTTTCTATTAAACCAGATATTAGAGATTTGGGAAAATGCAAAAGAATACACTTTTCTCACTATTTTTTTTCTGGAAAAGCTATTTCTTATTTAAAAAACTATTAATTGTTCCTATGTGACAGGCTGGTTATTTTTTAGGAACTATTTTGTAAATGTCTCAGTTTTCATTTTGAATACAACCTGCACTGACAGATGTAACCTGTATCAACAAAAGCTCTTTGGAGCCCTCAATGCTTAAGAGCACACAGAGATCCTGAGACCAAAGAGTTTAAGAACCACTGCCCTGGAACCGGGCCAGTCTCTTACCAGGCCGGCAACAGCCTAGCCACTGTGCAGACACAGATATAATAACTAAGAGCCACCGAGCCTTTGCTATTTGTCATGCACTGTCCTAATCCTGACAGGCACACTCTAGGGTAATACCATTATCCCCAATGTACAGGTGAGGAGCTGAGACAATCAATATTAGTCTACTTGGCCCAATTTGCCCCAAGTCACACAAGGGGTACAGCCAGATGCTCTTTAGGGCCTGTGATTCATCTCTTCTAGTTTAAAGGGCCAGCCACCTTTTCAGCACAAACTAATCATTCTAATTATTGGTACATCCTCAGTGTTGTCTTGCAAAGCAAAGTAATATTCCTTTATGGATACTGTTTTTAAATTTAAAAGGAGACACTTATCCTTTCTCAGGTCTTCATTCTCATAGATAACATAGAGCTCAATAGTTTTAGATGAGTCTTTGGTTTAAAAATTGTGTTTAGGTGTATCCATTTGTCAACTAATCAAACCTCACACTTAAAAATAATGCGTTTGAGTATAAATTATGGTTCAGTAAAGTTGGAATAAAGTTTTTGAAGCACCAAAAGAGCATCAGCAGAATTTTACTTGAGAATCATTTAAAAAAAAAAAAGAAAGAAAGAAAGAAAGAAAAAAAAGATTTTTTTTTTAAAGAACTGGTGATTGGGAACACCTCTGGTTAAAATTTCTCAGCTGTAGATTTTTTAAAATGTGTATATTGTGACAAATCTGGTCCAGTCTCTTACCAAATTTGTATTTGGACCATATTATTTGGCCCTAGATTTGGGCTTTTACTCTGTTCATCTTTTATGTACTTTAGATTTACTTTTTAAAAAACAGTTCGTTTTCTTCGAAAGCTAGGGGATAAACTTCCTATCACTTCTTAGTGAAGAGAGCATTTCCATATGCAATTTAAAAAAAGAAAAAGAAAAAAGAAAAAAAAATCCCTGAAGAATCAACTGTGTACACACAGAAGAGCTTTTTCATTCTGACAAACAAAGATGCTGGGTTTCAGGGGTGGTGGGAGGGGGGAGGGTTGCAGGCCATTTGTTGAACGCTGCTATACAGCTGCATATAAATGAGTGCTAGCTACTTTGCAAACAAAATTATGAAAATAGCCACCACCTACATACTGCTTACTCTGGGCATTTAACTTAGGAAATTCAACCAAAATCTCAGAAAAAATAACACAGGGTGATTCATTTCAATCGTGTGGGTGATTCTTTCTGCACTTCTACTCAGTGAGCCTGTTTCCTGAGCAGAGTGCAGCGCTCCCCACCGTGATGGCAGGTGTCTGTGGGCTTCACGTGGGGCGAGCGAGCGTTTGGACTTCAGGCTTCTCAGGTCTGTTTGTTTATACACTGTGCGGTTCTCCCTTTTCCTCCATGTGAGCTACATCTCCATCACACCTGCAACCACTGCTGGGATGCCTTTTCCTAGTTCACAGCTGGAGAAACAGAGGCTTGGGGGTTAAATTCAATAACTTCCTCAAGACCCCAGCTATGAAAACTACAAAACCCTGGGCAATCTGACCCCGGAGCTCCCTTCCCAACCCCTGCAATCCACTCCCAGGGGATACGTCACCCAAAATGCTCATCATTCAAAGGACCCCAGAAACACAGATTCTTGGAGCTTTGAGGCAAAGCAGGCCATTTTACAGATAAAGAAATTGAGGTCCAGAAACGTAAAGTCGACTTACCTGAACTCATACAACGGTATCCAGATACCTTCCAACAGAGTGTCCAGATATGCCACACTCCCTCCGGAGCAAGCCCCACCCCTCCCTACCCTATCCTGTCCCACCCCACCTAGCGGCCCAGAACCAGACCTAGAACCTGTCCCACCCTTCTCCACCCTGTCTCATTCCTTCCTCTTCCCAAAAGAGGGATGAGGATGTGTGAGTATGGAACAACCCACTTCTGTTTTCCTCAAAAGCCTGCTGAGGAAAAGTAGCTTCCTGGAGATCCACTCGAGAGGGTCTGAACCACGAGAGAACAGCGTAGTGGGGGAAGGCCAGCGGCCCTAACAGGGCAGCCAATCATCCCTAAGTAGACAATTGGTTGATGGGGTTCAGGTGCAAGCCTTTTTTTATCAGCAGTGGTTTTCTGGAAGTGCAATGCAAAGCAGACCTGGTGACTGCCAGGTGCGTTCGTGAATTAGGCGCAGAAAGCGAGGGCTAACCTTCGGGCTTTGCCCAGCGGGCCTCGCCTGGCAACTCTTGGAAGGGATCTGAAAAGGAATGAAACTAAGGAGGCAAGACCCACTCAGATTAATTACACAGGCTCCCCCAGCTTGAGGCTGGAAGGGAATAAAACAGGAGGGAGCCCTGAGAGTGCCTAGGAAGGGCGCTGGAGCCAGCAAATGAATGAAGACACAGGCAACTCTGCGGAGACTCAAAGCCTCATCACCTACGCCAAGGCCAGCTTTCCTTCTCTCCCAGCCTCCTTATTTCAAGCAGGTGGGGTCTCAGACCCCGTGTTCTCCCTAACCCCACTCTTCTCTCATCCCTCACAAAGCAGGTCTTGCAGACTCTACCATCAACCAGGTCCAACAAGCATTGAGGGAGGGCCGTAGAGGCCTCAGCCCTGGGTGAGACAGGGACTGACCAGCACTCTGCCCTTCTCCCCGCCCCCCACAACACTGGCCCAGCTGTGCATCGGCCCAGGCTGTGCCGCTGGCCCCAGGCTCGAGGGGGTGCCAGCCATCCTGTCGTGCCAGCTGTCCTGTCTTGGCTCCCTCCCCCGTAGCCAGAAGGCCCTGAAGTGAGGAGCACAAGGGCTTGCTGGTGGCACAGGAAGTCTGTGGGATGTGACTTCCCAAGAACTACACCCCCCCAACCCCCGCCAAGGGCAGCGGGAGTACCTAGGAGCTCCATGTAGGCCTTGAGGCTAACAAGTCAGCCTGGGAGTTCCCAAGGTCAGTTGCTCTAGTGGACCACATGCCTGGAAGAGTAGGGGAAGTGCGGAGTGTGGCCAACAAAGGCAAACTGCCAGGCAACCGGTTGCCTGTACGTGTGCCAGGAGGCAGTGGGTGGCTGGGCAGAGAGCTGGCTTGCCTGGGCATCCGGGGTGAGAGGCCCAGCCCAGGAAGCTATGGGAGGGTTTGCAGCCAGACTATTTTGTAGGGTGGACAAGAAAGATAGGCAGGCGGGTGGGGGTGGGGATGGAGCTGGAGGCAGGGGTGGAGACAAAAAAAAACAAAACGTAAAACAATGCCTCCCCTCCCCTCTCAGGGAGAACGCGCACACACACATCCACGCTTACAGCATCTTCGTGGAGTCATTCTTCCCTCCTTGGGCCCTTCGGTGCCCCAAGGCCAGCCCTCTCTCCCCTCGGGGCTCCAGGGTGCACAGGCACCACCCTTCCTAATCCTAATTTTGAGTTAACTTCCCAGATTACTGACCTCAAGGGTGGCCCAGAGCCCTGGGGGTGTCCACTTCTCTCTCCACCTTCCAGCTTGGGACATTTAAGTCACCCTGCCGGCAGTGACCCCAGCTGAAAGCCACTCACTCCCGAACTGGTTTCAGATTTGCCCATTGAGCAAGGACCTCTACAGCCAACTGGCCTGGGGAGAATCAGCTTAAGCCACTCCCCCCAAGGAAATCGCCTACCCTCAAGTGCTCTGGTCCCAAGATGAAAGAAGTGCAAATTCGGGGGTCACTTCCAATGGTAAAGTGATAGCAGCTATTGTCCCATCCACTCTACCCAGCTGGGGTGTTAAAGCGCCCTGACTTAGCTCTGAAACCGACCTCAAACTGCCCAGGAAAAACTTGAAAGTGTTTAAAGATTTCCAAAGACTTTGGGGGGAGGGGAGAGAAGGGGAGGAGAAGGTTTAGATAGAAAGACCGAAGGAAAAAAAATTCGTGGCCAGGCTAAGAGGCGGGTAGCAGTGGGGGAGGAGCAAAGCCGGAGCCCAGAAACCCGCCTGGGATGATTGGTCAGATACTTCGGGGCTCTCTGAACCTCCAAGATGTATCTCTTCCCAAGGCAGCGGCCACATCCCAAGCTCTGCAAGGCAGGGAGCTGGAGAACTCATGCCCTCACTTTGGTGCAAGCCCCCTTCCCTTACGGAAAGCCTCCACTTTCTTCAAGGCCTCCATCCCCACCTTTCTGTGAGCACCGCCCCCCCCCCCCCCCCCCCCCCAGCCTGGGCACCTCTTACTCCACAAGTGTGCCTGGGCCAGAGCTGTTTCTGTCAAGGGCCAGGGCGCCTATCCCAGGGCACCTGGTTTTCTGAGCCCCAGATGAAGGTGGGCAGACGTGGGGTCCCGGGGGCTTCCGTCCCCGAAGCTCACCTCAACCCCGGGGCTCAGCTAATCCTGGAGGAACCAGTCCTTTCTCCCGGTCTGGTCCCAGCTGGTGGGGGAGGTAAAAGCCAAGGGATAGATGCCTCCAGTGGTATCTTCCCCCGGGGGCTTTCCTGCCCGACTTTAACCCTTTGGAGTGCTGGGGCTACTGCTTCCCTCCCAGACTTCCAGTTTCACTTGATCGCGGCACCTGGCAGCCACGTATAAAATGCCCCCCAGTGTCGGTTATGCTCCGGCTCCACTATTACCATTTTCTTCTCTGCCTATCGTGAGCTCTACACTTACCACCTAAACAAAAAATATCCCTTTTCAACCGCCCAAGAGCACCAGACCAGGGAGCTACCAGAAGTGAGTTCAAATCCAGTCTCTGCATTATAATCATTCCAGCCCCACCCACCGTAATGGCAGCCCCCTGAGGCAGTGGCTTGGACACACCTGGAGCTGGATTTGAATGCCAGCCCTGCCTCTTACTAGAGTATGACCTTGGGCAAATTGTCTAAACCCTCAGGGCCCTGACGGGGAGGTCACCGGGGCATAACATTTACCCCACAGAGCCACTGTGTCGATTCAGTGAAATGACACATTTAAAGCATTTAGGACTGTGCTTGGCACAAAGCAAGTAGCTCCCATTTCTCAGCCTCTCCATTTAATTTGAAATGTTTTTTAAGTTCTTAATATAAATGCAGTATTTTAAAAGCTTCAGAGAATAGCGGGTATCTTGCAGAAGGAAATGGAATTACAAAAGACACTTTTTCTTGCACCATTATATCTTCCTTCATCATCTGACATTTTATAAGGAGCCTGCACTACTTGCTATCATTTTAAAAAGCAAGGAAGATAATTTAAAATTTTTTAAAGGTTAATAAAATCTTTAAAAGTATTTTAAGAAGAAATTATAGTGATAAGAAGGTTTGTTGGTGATTCTGTTACAAAGTAAGTCTTATTTATGGACTGAGAAAATTTAGAATAATTGGGAAAAACTTAAAGTAAAGTAAAGGGAAGAAAAAAATACCTGTAATTTTATTATCTCAAGACATCTATTGTGAACATTTTGGTACATTTCTTTCTAATCTAGTTTTCTTTTTTAGACTGACTTATGTAAGTTAAACATTCTTTTTACGAAAGAGTCAAACGGTACAGAGTAAAAAATAGAGCCAGTTTTGTTCTGTCCCAAACACATTCCCCTCACCGCTTATCTGCCAGTTTTTTTCTGTGATTTTCATCTTTTCCTGTGCATATACACATGTATATTTTTCTATAGTCTTTCTATGAATATTTTTGTGCTGTTAAACATTTTTAAAACTACTTTTGACTAAATAATATATACTATAGATGCATGATATTTATCATATACATAGATGATACATAAATAATAACATATTATTTTAAATGCTTCCAAATTTTGGTTCAAGAGTTTACAAAAGGATTCAGGGTTCAAATTTCAGCCCTGTTTCCTGTCTACAGTTTCTCTTTCCAGAAGCAGCCAATATTGCTTGTAGGGTTCTATTCCAGAAATACATTATGTATAAACAAGCAAATACCTCAGAGCGCTTTTTTCCCTTCTTTAAAGCACAAATGGTAGGATACCGAACACTCTCGTGCCCCTTGCTCTTTTCACTTTACTTTTTTATTCAGAGCCACCACTGTCCAATCAAATGTAATGAAAACCACATGTGTACTTTCCTATCTTCTAGTAGCCACATTAAAAAGGTTAAAAGGAACATGTGAAATTAATGTTAACAATATTTTTAAGTGAAACCAATATATCTGAAATATTATCATTGACAGGAAATCAATATAAAACAATTATAATAAGATACTGCACATTCCATTTTTGTACCAAGTCTTCAAAATCCAATGTGCATTTTCCACTTCAATTAGAACTGGCCATATTTCAAATAGCCACATGTAGCTGGTGGCAAATGTATTAGGACACAGCTAGACATCTAGATGTAGCATGCAATCCATTTTATAAATGAACATAATGTACTGTCCAGTCCCCATAGACGGACATTAAGGTCATTTCCATCTTTTGCTCATAAACCATGCTGCAATGGGTAACCCCGCACATACATAATTTTGCACATATATCTGTATAACTATACTTTCAAAGTGTATGTGTGGTAGTAATTAATACTGATTTTGCCAAATGCCACTCCTTAGAAGTGGTACCAGTTTATTTCTGCAAAACAAAGTATGAGAGTTCAGTCTCCTTTTAACCTTTGGTCAGGACTGTGTGTATCACTTTCTTTTTTTAATCTTTTCCAATCTAATAGGTGAAAATTAGTCCCTTGGGATGCTTTCATTTACATATTTTATTATGAATAATGGAGAGCATTTTTCATAGACTTACGAGCCATTTATGTTTCCTTCTCTGTGAATATCCTTTGCCCTTTTGCTATTGGATTATAGACCTTTTTCCTTATTGATTAATGAGAGTTTTGTATATAGACAGCTTTTGGTCTATGAAAAGAATTAGAATTTTTTTTTTTCTGAGTTTGTGGTTCATAATTAGACTTTGCTTATGGTTTTGTTTTGTTTTGTTTTGTTTTATCCTGGAGAAATCTTTTTATTTTTACATATGTTGAACATATCTGTATCTTCTTTAATGGATCCTGGATGATAAACTTTAAATTTTTTTTTAACTATTAAGATGAGTTGTCACAAAATTAAGGACCTGGTCACTCACTAGGTGTCCAAACATCAAAAACCCCAGATTCCCAGCAACAACTAAACCCACTCTGACAAGTACCCATCTTTAGTTAATATGTGCCTTGCTTTGAACAAAATTTAGATTTAGGAAGCAGATGAGTCAGGGTAATCCTTCACTCATAAAGGGACATACAATAGAAAAGCTCCCTAGAACTAATGAGCTGCGATAAGTACTTAACTGTTTAAATGTACAGCTTTCCAGGGGTCATGTAAGTGGGGCTTCACCTGTATTTGCAAAAAACAAGTTCTGTAATGAGTGAAGTATTCATCCAGCGCTGGCTGGGTAGTGAAGAGTCAGCTTGGGAGCACAGGGGCAGGGTCGAAATTCCAGCCCTGCCCCATGTGCCCCTGAACAAGTTCCCTCACATCTCCAGACCTAATTCCTCACTTAAAAAATGGTGATAATAACACTCAAGGGGTTGCTATGAGGATCAAGTGAAAAACTGCTTATGAAGTTCTTAGTACAGGTCTCATGATAAAATGCTTGATAAACGACACTGCCATTAGATTTAGTCCTCTTCCCTAGTCATCCTCTACAGAGATTTAAAGAATTCATCCGTCTGTTCATTCGATTAATTCATTTGCTCAGTGCCTTATTAAATAATTTGTATATATTAGTCCATCATTTATCAGTCATTTGCTCGTTCAGTTATTCATTCATTCACACTTTCACCCAAGTGTTGTCATTCATTCAACAGATACTTGAGCTCCTGGTATGTGCCAGAGGCCTGGGCCAGCCCTGAGGACATGGTGCTATCTACGGACCTAACTCTAGACCAGCAGCTGGAGAGTTGAGACTCCAAAGGCTTCTCATTCATTCCACAACACAACACATGCCTCTTGTGTTTACTGTACACAAAGGCCCCACATCCAATAGCCGCTAATTTTACTTCCCTGACATCATAATCTCCTGGTTTCCTTTCATTTTCTTCGTTCTCCTCTCCCACCCTCCTCTGTTACCCTCCCTGCCTCTTCCCCGGGATTCTGGGCTTGACCACCAGGGTACCTTGGCGACCAGCAAAAGACAGGTGACCCCTCCAGCTGCAGTTAAACCATCCCAAGCTGAATCTCAGCTTCTCTACTTCAGATATATCTAAGAGGAATTTAGACAAATCCGACCCTCATTTTCCCCATCTAGAAAATGGAGATGATATTCACTAAACGGTTGATTTAAACAGGGATGTTGCTCCTTGACTGTGAAGAAACATTCAATATCAAGGAGATACGATTATCAGAATTCAAATCACAATTAGTTGATGATCTACTCTGCAGGCAGTATGCTCAGTGCTGTGAAAGACACACAAAATGCTAATGCAGTCTCTTCCAGTCACAGCCCAGGTGGGTACGGTAAGTACTCAATAACAATTGTCTTTGCTTGCTGTTACCAAGGAGAGGGATAAGTATTTGTTGAGCCTTTCACTCCTAGGCACTGGCATTTCTCAGACCT